ATAAGGCTGTGTGATAAAATGGCCTTGGAGATATGCAGCATTATAAAAACTTGGTCTCATGCTCTGAAGCCAGTGTCTCACATTGGTAACTCTTTGGTCCCTGGTCTGCTGCTGAGATGTCCCTTTCTCCCTCCTCTCTGATTTTGGATACACTTAGGGCCTGCCTTGGTCAAGGTTGCATTTTCAGCATCAGGCCACCAAAATATCTTGGCTTTGAACTACAGACAAATCTTTATCAAAAGTCATGTTAAGTCAGGGGAGGGAGGGACTCCTCTCTGGTTTAAAAAAAAAAAAAAGGTACAGGAGCAAAAATAGAAGGTGACCTTCAAAGCTGCTAGTGGTGTGTGGGACGAAGGTGTTGACAAGCTGGAGTGAGCCCTCTGTCAGGTGGGGGAGGAAATGTCCCTCTTGCGTCTGGCAGGACGTTGCTTGGAGTGCCTGGGGCTTATCAGCATTCCCTGAAAGGCTGACTGTAAGCATTTTCACTTGATGTAGGAAGAAGACGACTACCTGTTTGAAAAAGCAGAAGTCAACTTTTGGGCTGAGACCCTGACCTTTGTGAAATACCTCAATAGATCTCTCTTCCATGTCCTCTGCAAGTCCTGCCGCCATCCCCCTCACTCTGAGAGACTCCATCACCTGCGGAAGAGGGTGTCAGAGCAACGCCAGTGCCTCTCCCAGCTCTTCAGAGAGCTTCCTCCAGCTGCCGAGTTCCTGAAGACGGTGGAGTACACAAGACTACGCATTCAGGAGGAAAGGACATTAGCAGGCCTGAAGCTGCTAGCCTTTCTGGAAGAAAAGGAAGGGGAAGCCTCCTTGTTCTCAAAGCCAAGTACTCTCCTGCAAAATTAAGAGTTAACTCACAAGGACACTGAAGAAAGAAGGCTTACAGAGAGTCTACCACCAGCTCTCCAAGAAATATGTCCATCATGTTCAAACTTTCCCCCTTCATTCCTCTTTTCTAGAAGTTTGGACTTCTGTCACTTTCTACTGAGGGATTTTTCTTCCATTCGGTCATTCATGGCAGCCTAGTTTACTGCAGCTACTATAGGAAGTGAGGCTGCCCTTGAATGTTTACTCTGCCCGCAGGTGCAGGCCACCTGCAGGCCTGGATTAGCCTCTTCCATCCCCTAGGACCACTGATGTCGAGCCATTGCCACTCTGTTTCCTGTGAACTCACTACACAGACTGGATTTTAAAATAAACAACCCCTCCCTCTTTTGGGGGGAATATATATGTAGGGCTGGATTAGTTGGCAAAAGACTCATTTGGTTAGATTTCTAAATTGTATTCTATTTTAGCAAAACAGAAGTATGTTCCAAAGCTGGGCACTGGTGGCTCACACCTATAATCCTAGCTACTCATGAGGTTGAGATCTGAGGATCACAGTTCAAAGCCAGCCTGGGCAGGAAAAGTCTGTGACACTCTTTTATCTCCAATAAACCACTCAGAAAACTGGAAGTGGCTCTGTGGCTCAAGTGGTAGAGGACTTGGCTTGAGCTGAAGAGTTGAGGGACAGCGCCCAGGCCCAGAGTTTCCAATGTTGGGTCCTGGGGAGAGTAAGGATCAACTTCATGCCAATAATTTTGTTGTGCTGTCTGCATGCATAAGTCCTGATGTGGTCCTCACATGCGTACTGTTAGGATAGCCACTGGGAATCGACTATCTTCCCCCAAAATATGTGCTGATTAACTAGGAAATCTGATTTTGCCACCGAGCACGTCCTGTTGACTTTTACAAAGAACTTGAAGAAAGGAGAGCCAAAGCAAATGTTTTATTTGATGTCCACACTTTTACCATCCTGTGCTTGGTGGCAGTAACAAGATTGGGCTTTAAGATGTCAATAAACACACTGATTAATTTCAATGATTTAGTCTAGAAACCTTACAGGCACTCTGCCTTTCCAGGCCAGCCCAGCCTTCTGCCTCATATATCCAGCAGGTGGCGTTCTTTGTACATATTTTGCTGCTGGTCTTGTATTTCATTTTTACCATTTTAAACATATACTTTCAGAACTGTAGACAGTTACCTTGAAATTCATAGCCTGAAAATATGATTGTCTCATTCATGGTCATTTTCCATCCTAGTTATCTGAAAAGGCCATTTTACTCATATAAATCTGTGGGGGGGCCTGTAAATATTTTTAAAAATTTCTCAGGTAAGTAATTCCCTAAGACCTATTTTATGTTTGATGATCTGAAGGTGCAAGTTAGAGAAGAAGGAATTGAATATGGCTATTTCCTACTGGAAAAAAAAAGCTGAGATTTTTAATCTAACTGATCTGAGAGAAAACCATCCAACATTAAAAATGCGGTCATATTTCCGGAATGGTGAAAGGCTGTACAAGAAGAGGAGAAATACAGGTTAACTCAGCATCCAAAGTATCATGTCATCCTAAGGAGAACAGAAAATTCCCTGGGTGGTCTTGCAAACATTCAGGTCCAAATGTGTTCTTGTGATCCTGAATTAATTACCTACTTAGGCATCTGTGTAGCCCACACTTGATAGAAAGTTGCCAACTTGACTGTTTTTTGTTCTGAGATCTAGCTGGTAGGAAGGCAGGGACTGATGGTATAATGTAGTAATCACTACGTGGCAATAACCATGAAAGAATACTTCTGAACAAGGCACAACAAAGCCCAACTCATTAACACAAAAAAAGGCCACTTATACCCCACCACCACCATTTATGTAAAATGAAATACAAGCAGTGATGTAATAATAAAAATATTTTACTCTAGTAGGCACTCTGTCCTAAACCATGTCCCAGAACATGTTTACATGGTAATTTCAGAATCCTACCAAGTCCACAAAGCGGGTGTTCTCACTGCTGTTGACTGGGAATTACCCCAGACTTAGATCTTGGCTGGCTTCAGCTAGCTTAGATGGGCAGGAAGAACTGCTCTTTCCTGATGTCTATACCTGGTCTTCTTACTAACCTGACAGTTCTGGATGAGGAAACAGTTGCTTCACACTGATGCACCCCAGGGAAAATCTTGAAGACCCTGTGCTCAGGGACTAACTCGTGTTTCAGCAAAGAATAAAAACATGTCAGCCAGTTACCTCTATAAGCCAGTGATGGATGGACAAGAATAAAGCCCTCTCCTGCAGTCACTACTTCCTTATGACTCGAGTTCTAGGGTCCAAAATACAGGTGGCCACTGGTTCTTTCTGTACTCATGATTCTGTGACCGGCACCCCATCCATCTGGCACATTCTAGAGGACTGGCTTTGTCCACTTTGCCAATTTATTTTAAAGATGATTTGTACCTGTCCATCTTTTAAATACCTCTTAGCTCAACTGCACCTTGACAAAGGTGAGGGATGAGTAAAGCAAGAATTTTATCTTTGCTATCTTTGTTTTACAAGTACCAAACAGATGGTGTGACTTGTCTCCAATCACATGAGTGAATAAGACATAAGGCCTGAACTCTAGCCCCACATTTCTGACCCTAAAGTTCTTCCAGCCCCACCTAGGACTCTAGATCCCAGGTGGGTAAATGCTGTTTGCTGGAACTTGACCCCCTTTGTCTCAAAGAAGGCCTGTCTCCTTCTCCCCTGGTTAACTGACAGCCCAATGAGGACTGAATGAACTAAGTGCAATCAGACTGGTAGATCAATTTGGAAAGGGGTGTGGGTCAAGCTTCCTTCCCTGGCAGCTCCTGGACATTCCACCTTAGGCGGCCTGTCTGCCAGCTGGGTGAAATCATGGGCCTGGCTCCAGCCTTTTGGCAGCTAGAGTAGACAGCATAGCTAGAAGAGGCCTCGACCAGACTCCAGGTCGGCCGAGTACAGCTGTCAGCGGCTTTTGCCTCGCCGGGCGCTAGGTGGGGGTGTCTGCCCCGTCCCAGGACAGGAGCCGACGTCCGTGGGGAGCACGCCTTTCCCAGGGTAAGCTGTTGGGGTGCAGGCTGCCGAGAGGTAACGGGGAGCCCCCACCCAGGCCGCAGCCCCGCCTCAGCCCAATCCTACAGCAGCTAAGGCTGGACTGGGGGCTGGGACCACCCGGAAGAGGCGATGCGCAGACTACGCAGGGCAGAAAGCCTTGGCGGGCAGCTCCCCCCCAACCCCCGACAGAGTTAGGGGAGATCAGATCCGCCAGCAGACGGAAGAGATGAAGAAGTTGCCTCCATGCCTGAACGGCTCTGGCGGCTTTCTCTCCCGTCCTCCTAGTCGGCTCCCCGCCCCGGACGCCCCGCGCCACTCCGCGCCTTTGGCCCTGGCTCAAGGTCTTGTGATGTGATTAGCAAAGCCAGCGCCTTGTCCTCAGACACTCAGCCCAGCCCGGCAGGCCCGGGCGCTCCAGCCCTGTTTACTGAGCCTGGGCGGGGAGAGGGGCGGAGAAACCGGTCCGGACTCCAGAGGGCCAGACTACAGCTGCAGCCTTCCGCGTGGCCGCGTCTCCCAACCCTCCCCCCGCCCCCATCGTGCCTCCACGTGCAGCCCGACGGAGCCCCTCTACGAGACTCAGGCGGGGAACCCCTGCGCTCTTTGCCAACCAGCTGGGCGCGCGCGGACGGTTGCAATAGGTTTGCATTTTGCAATTCCCGCGCCCAGTACAGAAACTTGAGGGTGGGAGATGATAAAAGCCGCGCCAGCCCGCCTGGCAGGATCGGGCGGGGAGAGACACGTCCAGGGCTGCAGAACGCAGGGCACGTGGAGGGTGCGGGGGCTTTCCAACACTGCAGCCCCACGGGCGAACAGAGAGCAGCAACCTCACCGCCGCCACCCAGCTAGCACCCAACGGGGCTGAACTCTCCACGCTGCCCGGGCGCCCGGGCCGCCGGCCCCGCCTCTTCCCCACCCCCTAGAAGGGGGGCGAAATTGGCGGCGACCAATGGGAGGCCAGCGAGGCGCCTGACGTTGGCGAGCCGGCGGGCGGCGTTGCCTGGAGACCCCGGCGGGGTCAGCGCTCCATGCCCTCCCCTGGCGCGCCCGCCCCGCCGCCGCAGCGCTCCGGGGCTCTTATATAGGCTGCGCGCTCGCGGGCCGCCGAGTTCCAGCAGTCCGCGAGCTGCCGTCGGCTCGGCGCGGGGGGCGGGCCGGGCACCCCGGGCGCCGAGGTGCGCGCTCTGCTTTCCTCTCCTTCCCCCCCCACCCCGCTCCGCACTCCGGGGCGCCTCTGCCCGTCCACGCCGCCCTCCCCCCAGCACAACTTTCGGTCCCTCCTCGCCCGTTATTCGTCGTGGCCGCCCCGAGGGCTCCTCCCAGCCTTCCAGCCTGCAGCCGCGACCGGCACAAGACCCAGAAACATGTCGACCACACTTCTGTCGGCCTTTTACGATATCGACTTCTTGTGCAAGGTACGCGGGGAGCCGGGGAGGGAGGGAAGGAGGGAGGGCGGCGGCGGGCGGGCGCGCGCCACCCCTTCCACTTCCCAGACTTCGCCCCCGGCCCGCGGCTGTTATTTGGTGGGGGGAGGGGGGGAATCCCGGAGTTTGCAGTCGGGTGTGCGAGCGCCCTTCGGGCGGGGAGCGGAGCCCGAGCAGGAAGGGCGGAAGGGAAGGAGGGAGCGGCCCGAGCTGTTTAGTTTCTCGGGAGCTGACCGCGGCCACGCTGCCCGGGACTTCCCGGACAGTGTTTGCGCCTCCCACCCGGAGGCCCACGGGCCGGAGGATCACGTGTCGGGCCCCGGGGCGGCCGGGCTGGGCCCCCACTGGCTCTCTGGCTGGCTCGCGCGTGTCTGGGTGGAGGCCGCGGCGCAATCCGCGGAAGAACTTAGTTTACGGAACGCCGCTCGCCCCGGCGCTCCCCGGCCCCGTCCGCGCGCGTTCTCATCCCCTCCTCGCTCCCCTCCCTTTGGCAGACGGAGAAGTCGCTGGCCAACCTCAATCTGAACAACATGCTGGACAAGAAGGCGGTGGGGACGCCCGTGGCCGCTGCCCCCAGCTCGAGCTTCACGCCGGGCTTCCTCCGACGGCACTCGGCCAGCAACTTGCATGCGCTCGCTCACCCCGCTCCCAGCCCCGGCAGCTGCTCGCCCAAGTTCCCGGGCGCCGCTAACGGCAGCAGCTGCGGCAACTCGGCGGCCAGCGGCCCGGCCTCCTACGGCCCCCTGAAGGAGCCGTCGGGGGGCGGCGGCACCGCGCTGCTCAACAAGGAAAACAAATTCCGCGACCGCTCGTTCAGCGAGAATGGCGAGCGCAGCCAGCACCTCCTGCACCTGCAGCAGCAGCAGCAACAGCAGAAGGGGGGCGGCGGCTCCCAGATCAACTCCACGCGCTACAAGACCGAGCTGTGCCGCCCCTTCGAGGAGAGCGGCACGTGCAAGTACGGCGAGAAGTGCCAGTTCGCGCACGGCTTCCACGAGCTGCGCAGCCTGACCCGGCACCCCAAGTACAAGACGGAGCTGTGCCGCACCTTCCACACCATCGGCTTCTGCCCCTACGGGCCCCGCTGCCACTTCAT